CTATTTTGGATCTGAAAATGATACAAATATTGAATTATAGAGTACTAAATTTTATTTGTTTAGATGTAAATATATAATTTCTATTCACAATATTTTTAGCTAATTTATTGCATTTAAATATAAGATTTTAAATTGATAAGATTCTTATGAATATTTAACTATTATTTTTTTAAATCGCAAATATAATATATAAAATTTTATCAAAACATATATAATTTGGCAATGTAATATACAGTAATTCAGCAAAAATATATATATGATAAAGTAATATAATTTGGCAAAATATTATAATTTAGTAATATATATTTGGCAAGATAATATAATTAGTCAAAGTAATATAATTTAGCAAAGTCAAATATATACAGTATATATATTTGGTACAAAAAATAAATTATCTATTTTACTATTGAAATATTAACTTCTTTAAAATAAGATTTAAAAAAAGTATATCATTTATATGCCAAATAAATTATATGCTGCTTTATAGCTGAAGATAAAAATTATATAAATTTAATTAGTCAAATTATATACTTTTTTAACAAATGATTGGTGAGTGACATTATATCAAATAAATCTATTTTGACTAGTGTTATAAAGAAGCTTGTATTATTTAAACAAAAAAATATCTTGATAATAATTAAAAGAAAATATTATTTTCTGATAAAACAGCATTTTAACTATTCAAAAATACAATTACTCAATGATATAAAGCTATAAGATCAATTAAAAGAATACCTAAAGATTATACTAAAATTTTTATATAGAAAAGATTTTGTATAAAAGAAAAATCTTCTTTAAAAAAATTATAAATGCAAAATTTTATATTAATATTTTGCAAAATCATAAAAAAAAAATTAATAAACTACTTGAAAACAATTAGTATTTTTAATAAGATAATAATCCTAAGTATATAAGTAAAATTGTTAAAATATTTTTAAATAAAATTTTTTTTGAAATTATTAATTGACCTTCTAACAGTTCAGATTTAAATCTTATTAAAAATCTTTAGACTATCTCTAAAAGAAATATAGAAATGAGATTACCAAAAAATATTTTAAAATTAAAACAATTTATAATAAAAAAATAGAATAAAATTTCAAATAAGATTTTAAATAATTTTATAGATTTAATAAAAGAGAGAAATGAATTAATAATTGAAAATAATGATAAAAGAATTAATTATTAATTATATACTAATAAAATCTCTAGATTTTTAGCTTTATTTTGATATATTTTTTATTAATTTCTATACAATAGTTTTTTGAGTAATGAATAAAAAAAAATTTCAAAATTTTTTGTACCATATTGTATATTAATTTTAAATTTTTTTTTTTTAATATAGTTTAAATAAATAGTTTAATAAATTAGTATTTAACTCATGTAATTTAAGAGATATATATTCTTATTGACTGTATACTTTTTATATATTATTGTATAATAAAAAACTGATATTTATCAAATAAATAAATAAATAATATTTATTTACTTAAAAAATAAAATAAAATAAAATTAAGAAACTAATGTTTATCAACAAAAAAAAAGTAATATTTTATTATTGTATTATTCTTAAAAATTAATAAACTACCACAGCATACAGCCTGGTTAGAAGTAAAAAAAAAAAATAATAAATAAAAGTTGTTGCTTATATTGCTAATTGAAAAAATAAAAATAAATGGTTTTTATATGCATACAGATAAATCTATAAATATTCGTCCAATCAACATTCGCCATTCATGGGTTTTCCAGATATACATATATGTCGCGACTCGGAGAAGTGGTTATTCATTTGACCTACGAACCTTTCTTAACTAACAATGTCTATTTCACAATCTGCTCTTCTACTCCAAAAACAACTCAAAGGTGATATTAATTTATCTCCCTTTATTAAGTCGAATTATTTTTAACGTATTCAGGTTTAATTCTTAAACTAGAATTATCTAAACATCCGGTAGAAGGTTTTTCGGCTGGTCTTGCTGACGTTGATAATATTTACGAGGTATGAACGATTAATGTATTTATTCTCATAAGTGTCAGGAAAGCGAAACTAATAAGTATACTTAATAGGTAGGAACTTTAACAGGTTTTAATTTTGTTTGACTATAAAATTTCTTTAATCTGATAAATTCATTTATTCGAAGTGGGAAATTATGATCATGGGTCCGCCTGACACTTTATAGTAAGTTTATATCTTTGCTTAGATCTGTTAACGTTAGAATATTTATTAATTATCGCTTCATTAATGAAAATTTGTTTAGTGAAGGCGGTTTCTTCAAAGCCAGGATGACTTTCCCACAGGTACCACCTTAATCATACCAACATGTATACGCTTATTTTATCTAATTACGCAAATTAAAATCGTATTAGGAATACCCTTTGATGCCACCAAGGTTGAAATTTATTTCTGAAATGTGGCATCCAAATGGTACGTGTATAGTGTGGTAGTCCATTATGATGGATATCAAATATAATTATTATAACAATTCCTCTTAATATCGTTTATAATAGTATATCCTGATGGTGAAGTGTGCATATCGATTCTAGTAAGATGACTTTACCAATTTATTGATTGTAAAAACATATTTATTAATTTTTTTTTCCTAATACATCAAAGCATCCACCGGGTGAAGACAAGTACGGTTATGAAGATGCAGGTGAAAGATGGATGCCTGTACACACAGTTGAAACCATTTTATTAAGTGTTATTTCAATGCTTTCGTCTCCTAATGATGAATCGCCCGCAAATAT